TTTTTTTCTTACCAAGACTCCAAAAAAGAAAAATTATTTAAAGATGGTTCTATTAAAGATGTTACTATTTGTACTAATATTGATTTTGATTTTGAACACTTGAAAGCAGCACAAATTGGAGTTAAGAAGATAGAAGATAAAGATAATATTTTAGACTTAAAAAGTGATAAGAAACAATCTGCACGCTATAAATTCAGTGGAGATGTTGCTTCGCGGTTAAAACTAAAATTACATAGTTATAATCAAATCAGATTAAAAAAGACGATTAAAAAAGACGAAAGAAGAGTTGAATATTCTGATAATGAGATAAAAGATTTTTTAAACCATCTTGTATTTGCAGTAAATCAACCTAATGAAGAAGAGTTAGGTAGGATTATTAAAGAAGAGATAGATAAAGATTTTGATTTTATTACATCAGAAAATGTATACAACAAGTTCTTTATAAGAATGTTGGATTGGCTGAAAGGTAAAGAGAAAGATATGTTTCTTTCCTATGAAGAAGGGAAAAAGTTTTTTGAAGAAGCAAGAAGAGGAATCCATATTCGGTTTGGTGTGAGAGATCCGGTAGAATCATTTATTGGAAGAACTACGCAATTGGATGATTTACATAGAATATTGCAAGATGAAGGTAAAAGTGAAGGTACTGTAATATCGCAGACANGTGGTCTTGGTGGAGTGGGTAAAAGTGAACTAGCTAGAAAGTATATCAATGAATATAGCCAAAAGTATGATAATAATGTTGTATGGATAAAAGCTGAAAGTTATCAAACTCTTGTAAAATCTTTTCGTAGATTAGCTTGTGATACATTGAAAATGAGTACAAAAAATGCAAATGGTGAAGAAAAGGAAATAAGTTCTGTAGTTGAAGATGTGTATGAATTCTTTTCTAACAGAAAGAGTCTTTTTATTTTTGATAATGCTGAAAAATACAAAAGTCAAGATGAATTTGATCATGGTATAGATACATTTTTACCTTCTTCATCACCTAACTATAACAGACCGTATGTTTTAATTACCTCTCGTAATCAGAAATGGCCAAGGAACAAGATACAAGTATTACAATTAGATGTATTTAATGAGGAAGAGGCAATAGAATTTATTAAAAAATCGCTCAACATAGAAAATGATACACAGGAAGAAAATATTAAAAAGTTAGCAAAGAAATTACAGTTATTTCCTCTAGCATTGCAACAAGCAGTAGCATATATAAGGGTGCAAAATGAGA